TCCCTGTGGAGCACGCGGCGGACATAGTCGGTAACAACGGTCTAACTGTCGTGTGTTTGCTCCTAAAACGGGCGATATGATAGATGCGTGGGAGTCAGGCCGGCATTATCGGAAATGCGCATTTGGAATATGGTGGCACGCCCAGTTGCCTATTCAATCCGCACCAATAGGGATCTGTGTCATTTGTGTTGTGTTATAAAGCCCTGGTCAGTGTCCTTTGTGGACCAGGGCATGTGGTGTTACGCCTAGGTGCGGGTTTTCGCGAGGCCAGCCACTTACGACCTCTCCCGCCCCCGGTCTTCGCTATTCTCCCTTGACGGTTAATTCGGGTGGGGAAGAGAGAGAGAGTGGCAGACGTTACGCAAGTCTACTATAAACAAATCCGCGCGTAAGTCACTGTCCCTGCTTTTGCCCGGCCCCCTGTATATTTTCTAGAAGCATGCTTGATGTGTCTGGCGGCTGATCTGGATCTGTCCGGCGAAAGTAGTACTTTGAAAGAACTCCACAGTGCTTAGGCAAACAAAATAGGAAGGGTTGCCTGCCGTTGTCAGCCAGCCGTTAGTCATTCTCAAACCCGGAAGACCCTGAGGTAATTGGTAATTTAATATGAACCCTATAGCAGTAACTAACAGACTATCGCACTATTTGTTGTTATCGAAAACATTCATACTCACTTGAGACGTAGTAAGAAACAGGGCAGTTGGAACCCAAAACTTATGTGCAAGCAGGGGGACTGTGTAAAGGCCTTAAACCCTACACAATATATGCATATATCGTAGTTGGAAAAGGTAATTCTGACAAAGACAAGGGGGACGAGGATGGCCATTTCTGGCTAACCAGTCGTCGGCAGCTGACCACACCTAATCCCAGGTCTGAACGACGTATGATTCGAACCCGGATTCTATGCCCGTTAAATGTTAAGTCCGATGCTCTACCATTGGGCCAGGGCCCGTTGTCCTGCCAGTTGCGATCGGAAATATTTGTTGTCATGGGAAGGCATTCATTGATCAGGTTATGCGGTTTACTAGTTCCATTGAGCATACGGATCTAGTCTCGAGCCCCGTATACACACGTATAAATGCTCTAATGAGTACCATTGATGGCAAGCTAAACGGTAAGGACCATTTATGGCTTATTAGCCGTCCTCAGCCAGACATGCCTAGCGCCAGGTATGGGACATGGTATTTGAACACTGAATTCGTGGTCACTGAGTCGAACGGGCTACCCCTGAGACACGGGCCGTTGCGGTCGCAACTGATATACACTTTATAATCATATGCAATGTAACGTGAGTCGTAAAACCTGACATAGTCCGTAATTTTAATATTACAACTTTTATAATCACAAGCAGCGGGAAATCAGGCAACTCGAGTTGACTAATTGGTCAAAGATGAGCAAGTATGGATTATTCTCGCGGCTGAGAATTCCGTTGCTCATAAAACAGCACTAGAAAACCCAGTCCCAAAGTCAGGGGATCACCAGTTAAATCCAGCCCGCGGACAAATATTTTCTGGGCGCGAGAGCGCTCTTTCATTTTATATCGACCACCGCAAGCAACCGAAAGAAGCACGGCCGGTAGGGCAGTAGACTCAAAAACGTTTGAGAATCCCGGTTTGAATCCTAGGCTATGCATAACTGCGGTTGGGTACGGCTGGCTGGCAACAATTAATAAATCAGAAATAGGCAGAATGTACTTACCGACAAAGGCAAGAGAGACTGGAAGGACTATATCTGGCTTATTAGCCGTCATCGGCCAGCCATACCCAAACCCGAAGTGTGGAACACCCGAGGCTCGAACTCGCGACCTGTTAGTTAGAAGTCCACGCCTCTAACCCCTGGGTCACGAGTCCGTTGCCCAGAAATAACCACCCCGGTCTGCCTCAACATTGTCATTATTCTCTCCTGCATCAAATGCATCTCCTTCCAGTGGCTATTCCATCGGTGGGTAAGGTTACGTATCGGCTGCAGAAAAGCAGCGTTCCCTGTCTGTGTACGTAACCGGAGAACAGGACTTTTAGGAAAGCTATAGCGACATAGGTCAGGCAGATGTAATTTGACATCATGTATGCCTTTCACAGGAACTTCGTTAAGAAACTTCGGGATAAATTCTCCCGTTTCGCCAGTTTACCCATGGCCTCAGGATGGAATATATCTCTCGTCCTGCCTCCCCGAAGTGTAACTGTAAATATCGTTGAAAGCGCTCCCACAATATATGTAGTCACTGTACTATCTGAAACAACCAGTTTTACGGTGCCCGGAATGAGAAGGTAACTGTCCAAACAAATGTGTCCACGTGAGGACTGAAAACCCAGTTCGGGATGGAGGGACGCTGATATATGTCGCTTCACGGGAAGCCAAGTTTGGTGTCCAGACTGGCAGAGATTTACTGGCACTGACCAAAGCAAGTGAAAAGACGAACTTCAGGAAACGACTGTCAGGGTGAAGACTCGAGCCTTTTGCCTCACCCCCGCCCCACCCCCACCCTCACCCCCACGTGCGGTAATGAAGAACATTTTTACGACCGTTTAGGCTGTCGACGATTCTCAGGCCAGGGGGTTGCACCCCTGCGAGCATTATACCGAGCAGATTATGTGTGTACTCAATCCTCCCGACCCTCTTCATTCGCATGATCTCCACCATGTCGGTGGGTGCCCGCTTTACGTCTCGGATGCTCCTTCGAAACCCTCGTCAGCGACAGCAGCTCTCTTTAGTGACGGGGAGACTCCAAGGATTGTGTGCGTTTGCCATGCCATGATTCAGCCGCCCAGAAGCCTTGCAGCTCGGTATACGCTGGCAGCTGTCTGGCTCCTGGTTCCCTGCCCGCGGATGCGCTTGCGCTCTCGCTGGATATACCGGCCGTGTCACTTGTGTCATCCTTCCCTTTCTGACCCGTTTTTGTTTTTGTTTAAAATCCCGGCCAAGTATTTGTTGTGGACCAGGGGGTGTGGTGGTACGCATAGGTGTGGGTCCGACTGTGTCAACCACCTGCACCCTCTCCCGCCATCGATCTTCCTGACTATGTCTTGACACCGAGCTCAGGCGGGGAAGGGAAGAGTGCGGTAGATGCTGCGCAAGCCTACTACTACTAATGTGAACTAATTCATGTGAAAGTCACCGTGCCTGCTCTCACCTTGCTGTAGAGCACACGGTGGACATGGTCGTCAACGACGGTTGAACCGCAATATGACGGGGTTTGAGAGGGAGCTGGAAAGATCAGGCGGATATGGTTTTCGTCCAAGCAATCAGGTCTCCCGTAGTGCAGGGCAGCATGTCACGACGCAGAGGACGGAGCGGGAACTGCCGTGCAATTACCCGTCCTGAATATAATATGTCGGTATCAAATGAAGTATAGACCATATATTATGACGGCTTTGGGAAACAGTGCCCCGCATTGTGGTAACTGCTGGAACGGTTGCACACTCAAAATCGAATTGCTTAACAATAGACAGTGGGTCCTATTTACATATCGAGTGATCGTTTTTACTAGGGCACTGGAAAGGACTCCAGCAAATTGTGTTATTGAGAATCGACCTCTCAGCTTTGCACTGTATAACGGGAGATTGCAAACCTAGGTTGCTGTGCTTTACTCGAGTTCAGCCTATTGGCGGACATGAGGAGAGCCTCAACGCGTGGAAGGTCGTAGCACACCACTTTAGAGCCGCAGTGTAGGCTCGAATGTGAATTATGGAAACCTCTAAGGGACATCAGTCTGAATCAAATCCTATTTTGCGGTTTCCGAACTTCCCTCCAGAACCGTGACTGAATTTATTCAGGGTTAGGACTACAAGTGAGCCCTTCCAACATTAATGTCTAGACTAGTCAGCCTACGGCGTCTGCTAGGTGTGTGAACCCTCAGGTGGACCGTAGATTAGAAGGGGAGAGTAGTGGAAAAAACTACTCAACTATGCTTCCATTTTCCAAAGTCGGGCGGCTAATCGCAAAGCGGCTATGATGACGAAACCTGACCACGAAACGCAGGAAGTGCAGGTTTAAGTCCCCTAAGGACTCGCCCCTCAAACGGGCCAGGAGATAGATGCGTTGGGCCAGCATGGAGGCTAGAACGGGGTGCGACAGGCGTTATTGAAGATGTTCACCCATAGCAAATGCCACCATTGGGGATAAGGTGTTCTGTCGAGGTGCAGGACCACAAAGGGATCCAAGTCGTCCCGCCTTTTTTTCCCTGTTGCCTAAACTCCCGACCAAGTGTTTGCTGTGGACCAGGAGGTGTGATGGCGTGCCTAGGCGCAGGCTCCCGCCACGCCTGTGGCCCGTGCCCGGTCCTACCTCATGCCTTCTTGACTCTGTCCGGACACCTGACCCAGGAGCGTGGAGGAGGGAGGAGTGCGTCGGATGCAGCGCAAGTCCACTATCCTTATAAGCGAATTCAGAAACAAGTCACCGTCTCTACGTTCACCTTGTTGTGGAGCACACGGTAGATATCGTCGGCAACGATGTCCTCTAAGGGCGTAATGGAACGGAAGCCTGTCTTTCTGCCAACAAATTACGGTCACGGAGGCTTCTCGCCACCACTGCCCTGATTTTTTTTCAGAGTTGGTTTCAAGATGAGACAAGATTCCTGTTCAACCACTACAAACATGCTTTCGTCTACTGCCGCGAAAGAATGAATACTGACAGAGGAAAAAGGAACGACATAGGTAAGCCATCAACGGCAACTCAGACAGCAGTGGTCTTCGTCAAGTACAGACAAATACCAAGGAAATTCACGCCCAATAATTGGAAGGCAGACATTTTACCGGCAAATATAAAATAAGGTTGAGCCACGAGAAATGCCGACCTGAGAGTACCTGACATCTTTAAACTCTTATCGCCCCTCTTTGCCGGGCTTTCTGACGTTGTGCTTGCATATTTTCTGATCTATACAGTGACCGTGGGTTAAATGGCTGGCATTTGCAGCTCCGATCGACCTGCGGACGTTAACTTTGCAAAAGTTCAAATAACTATCATCGTGAAATCTTGGGATGGGACGAAGGACCAGTTTTCTACGGTCCTCGGCGATACAGGAAGTAAATTCTCATTGTGAAGTTACGCGGGGACTGCGACAAATTGAGGGACGTTAGAGACTTACTCGAATCAGCCATAGAGGTGTGCCAGTTCATCTGCTGCGACCTCGAACTGAACGCTGTCTTCTCCAGTTCCTCGGTCACTGCCTCCATGGATTTCTGCCTGAGGGGAGTGGGTGTTCTTCGGAGAGGTGTTGACTTGACAGGAAAGGTGCACGATGGCATCGATGGCGGTGGTGCAGGTGGTGGAGGGGGCTGAAGCACGGTGGGTGTCGTCGAGGCGGTATTGGTTGATGCACCAATAAACTGACTGAAAGGCAGGGCCGGTGTCCCCGGCAGGGGGAAAGAGGAGCTGTTGGGGTCCCCGGTTGCCACAGCGGCCGCAGCCGCGGCAGCAGCAGCTGCTGCCAGACTCACATACAACTTTGCCCTCAGCTCGTCGGAGTTGGCCATCTGTGGCAGGGAGTTCATGTCCATGCGGTGGGGGAAGAGGCTGGGAGCTGTCAGCGGACTCAGTAGTCTCGAATTAACGTCCATGTTTAAGCTGCTGCTGCTGCTGCTGCTACTACTACTGCTATTACTAGTGTCTATAATGACTTGTCGGGAAAACTGCGTGCTATCGAGTTGGCACACGCACACGCAAGAGGTGGGAGGGCAGGATATGTTATGCTGCGGGGAGGGCGGGCGGTGGCTTGAGAAGGTGTGGGTGTGTGTGTGTGCTTGTGCGTGTGCTCGACAGACAACCGCACCAATCGTCACCCTTTTTGGGCACTCCTGTTCCATGCTCCGCCCCTACCCACCCTATTTTCCAACGCGGGCTTACTGGTTGGTCCAGCGCTGTGAGAGACCTGTGCATGCCTGCGTGTGTGGGTGTGTGTGCGTGTATGAAAGAGAATCAGTTGGGCATAATTGCCGTACGTACAAGCGCACAGCCCAGTTACAGATAACTGTAATCCCCTCTCCCCCTGCCTCGCCCCTACACTCCCTAAAAACTCATCCTGGTCCAGCCCCCTTATCACTATGGCCCTACCCGTCCTCTCTCAGCGCCAGCTCCTGCGTGTTCGGGAGCCACAGTATTGCTGGCTTCTACTTATGATAGTTTTGAGTGCATACCGATCACTGACAACAGTTTCCAAGTGGAATTTGACACAGTTTTGGCGTTTCCCATTGCTACCAAGTTTTCCTCTTACTCCTCCTCCTCCTCCTCCTCCTCCTCCTCCTCCTCATCATCATCATCATCATCATCATCATCATCATCATTATAATCAGCATAATCATTATCTCCCACATCAACATCTCTATGCGGAAATGGTGTTGCCACAGCTTGGTATCGACAGTGCATGGTGCAAATGCCAGGGGTCCGCTCCTGAAGGGTTCGTTGGGGTCTGTCGGGTGCTTTCTAATGTGAACCTCTCGCCGTGGCGACGTCATTAGCATATACTTATAAGCCATTTCCTACTATTTGCGAACTGGCCTGCGCTTCTGCCCAAGATTTCAAAACCTAACGACGCCCGGCTTATTTGAAAACTGGTTCGCATTTCTAATCCTGTTCCTGTGAATGAGAGACGGAAGAAGTACAGGTTGTGGGATTTGATTTTTAAATCTTGCCATAATTCACCAAAATCTTCTTAAACATCAAGGTATACGGTGATGGAAAATACCTCTTTCCTGGCTGTTGAATTCAGCACTTAGTGCAAATCTTACTTCTCCTCCAAAAACATGAGAACGCCACTTTGGCGTATAATCGAGTAGCAGGTGTGGGCGACGGATCAAATGCACAGAATGGAAGAAAAGACGTCATTCTCGGTTATTTGCTTGGGAGAATGTGCGACGTTGTTTGAAGAAACCTCCTGAGGCTTACAAGAGGGGCAAATCTAAATTCGCAATGCTACATGCCTCGTAAGCGGCGGTACTAAGTAAATGAAAAATATATCACATGCACTGCCATGAAAGCAAGTCAAATACTACTTTAGTGCGATTTTTGGAGGCGAAATATACCTCTCCTCAAACAGAACATAAGGAGAAGACACACCTCCTTAGGATATAAGCATGAGGACGGATGGCTCAAGGCCCCCTTTTGAGGAAGGAGGCAGGTGTTTGCAAAAGAAAGGGAGATCAATGGATAAATGCTCCCCAAATAAGCAGAACTTATTCCTGAGTGTGATTCGCTCATGTTAAATGACCAATTACCGCCCAGGCACCAACATGTTATCATGTTTGCAGTAACCTGGTCTTGCGCTAGTCCAACAATATGTCTCTTTCTGTGGCCTACTCACGGTTGGGAAACCCGAACGACCAATTTTATAGTCTGGTCCGTTTAATGGGGACCCGGTCGTGCGCTCGCGTCTACCTCTAAGCATCTTCGCTTTATCTTGCCATCGGAGCAAAAAGATTGAGGAGAGAGAGGAAGTGTGATAGATACTGCGCAGGTCTACCCCGCTGCAACCTCTTCCACGAGCAACCTACCGATGTTGTACCCATTAGGCGGGACGCAGAGGATAGACCTCGTCGTTCGCGGCGCTGGAACCGTCCAAACAACGTCACTGAAGTAGCAAATAATTCACAAAATCCTATACAGTGGCTTTGGTTGGCATTTTATGAACCCCGGCGTCTACTGCGCCTCTGTTTTTGAGTCCGCGGCGGCGGCGGCGGCGTATAAAGTGGTCTGCCTTAAATTTGGGCCCAGCTGAGTTCATAATGCTCAGGTCCCAAAGTATGTGACAAAAATTTAATCTTCCTTATATGATCGGACAAAAAGTCCTCTACTCGTTTCATGGTCATCTCAGTGAGTAAGACTGAACGTAGGAGGCCCGCAAAATTACTGAAAAAACTCATTGATGCCAAGAGGTTGAAGGTGAGGTAATCTGTCAGGTGTCGTATTTTATGCACGACCACTCATTTGTCGGGCATATGTGGCCTAGTGACAGGGAGCCTTCACGATGGATGAAAGTTGTACTTATGGCTGATGGTCACCACTAATCAGGAACCAAAACTAAACCGAAACTCTGCTAGCCCTGAAGACTAACATGATCGTTTCTGGCTTATCTGACCACGAGTCAGTCATAGCCCATCCAGTAACCACGGTAATTCGGTAACCGACGTTCCCTGTTATGCATGGAAGTCATTCAGCGATTGACTGATTTTTCCAAGAGCGCGTCAGACAGTTTCTAGAAATAACTCGGGAAGAGATATTGACAAACACAAGGGGAATTACCGATTCTGGCCTACTAGCTATCTTCAATCAGGCATATTAAACAGCAGGCTTAAATAACCTGGGGTGATTCAAATAGGTTATCTTTGGCTATTAAGATATGCAAAATGGGAGGTGAACCTTCACCTGGTGACCAATTATGGCGCAGGAGTGAATACGGACAAATGTGGTTGAGGCTGGTGTGGTCATTTCCGGCTAATTAAGCATTGTCAGCCAGGCGTAGCCAAAAGTAGGTTTTCTGGCCGAGTCCAGAGACAAACATATATTCCTGAAAGGTTTAACGCTACGTATGTTTAAATTAGTCAAAGTACGGCACTTGATCGAGCACGCATTTCTGCCGTCGATGAACAAGATCATTTATGTCTCATCAGTAAAAATCTCCTGGCGCTGATGCCACGAAATCTTTGAATCCGGCCTCCACCTCAGTTTTGCTCTGGCAAATTTTATTGTTTCAAAAGTATCGAGATGGCCAAAAATGGTAGTCAATAGGTGAGAGTTCGGGAAGTATGGTTGATGTGTAGAGTTTCATCAGATGATCAGACATCAATGAAATACTGACAGAAATTTCTCTGGCACCTTCACATGGGTTTCCTTTAACAATTGCTTTCAAAAGTTCATCGTCTTCTACCTTTATCTTCAAGGCCCTCAGCCAACGTGGCGTACTGATGTTAAGACTAAAACAGACATCTTCGAGGCCGACCGAATGGTAGTGGTCAAGACTAAAGTGATTAATTGCGAGACTCACGTGTTACGAACCAACAACGTCTGCCTTGCCCACAGTTTCAGCGGGCATTCAGAGCACCCATTTTTCTTGTCGGATATTCCCGGACACCATGCAACGTCATCTCGCAAATACCAACATCACCGGGGAGGGGGGGGGGCACGTTTGCCAACATGTCACTATGACGTCCATAGTCGCTTTCACCAGCAGAGCGATTACGGCTCCAACCTCTCCCCACTGCGACGGTATATTCGAGTCTCTCATCAGCCCCGTTCTACGCTTACTAATCCATTGCACTGAGCCCGACGAACCGGTGCCAGGAGTGTCCACACTGTCTCAAGACATACACAGTATGCATTTTTTCCATTTTCTGCGCATACACAACGCTTCGCTGCACCTCTGTAAACAAGGCCCCAGGACATGCCTCAGGATGCATTGATTTTTTTCCATCTTCTGCGCCTCTGTACAATGCTTCGCTGCACCTCTGTAAATAAGGCCTCTTTTGCCATAGACGATCTTAATTGGTCGCATGGATTTAACCGAAAACATTAATTAGTACTTAATACCTACGTGATGAAATTAGCCAGTGGCGGCATGACGTGTGAAGATTCGCATCTGACAATATGTACGCCTTGTTCATTTGAGGAGAGTTTCCTTCGGTGTAGTCTGGCACATGTTTACTGGAGAACAAGTAGTGTGCGGCGTGCATAGACGAGCTGTTTGTACTTGTCATTAACTATGCCTAATTCTCATTGCCCGTTCATCTGACTCGGGCACGCGGATGGTGCAGGAATGGAGAAGAGATAAGAGGGGGGGACTACACTGAAGAATCCGCCTTCGCTGTAACTCCGAGCATTCCTCCCTGTGACGCATAGACATCTCACGACGCAGCCTGGAAGACTGTAATTAAGGCCACAGTGGCTCCACTTTAATGTGGCTTTTGCGATATTCGTACTCGCATGAGACCCAAACACGAACAAAGCTTACTATACGCGGAGTGGGTACCAGTTCGCCCGTGGCACGTGTAGACGGGCTGTTTAGCTCTTTTAGTCATTACATTAACACCCAATTCTGCCGTATTTAATGTATTTTGTCATGGCAAAGGATATAAAGAATAAAGTATGTGCATTGCATATCTGCCTTGCCGCAAACAAATTCACACGTAAGTCACCGCTAGGATCATACTGTGGGGCAGTGGTTGACGTCGTTCTAAACGCGGTCGGTGCAAGCGAATATCATACCGTTGCGCTTCATTTCTTGTCGTTCGCAAGTAATAATAGCTTATAAAATCGGCCAAAGGAGAGGACACTTCCTGCGTGACTGGCAATAATGGTATTATTGCAAATTCGGTCCAACTGGGAAAAACAGAGCAGAAGCTTGTTTTCTAAATTTCTGTAACTGCATGCTGCGCCTACTTCCATAGACGGGGTTTTAATCGACCTCCTTTCGCTGGTAAGGCAGCAAAACTCTGCAAATTAATAGATACAGCAGGGGCGGATATTTGGTGCAGTTTCCGAGTTAGCCTCTATGCCTTGTATAACCGGAACGGTTGTATGCTTCCAGTTTAAAGTAGTTTCCCTGCAGACTGCAGTCAACCTTCTTTAC